TGGGTGACTTGTGCGTCATTGCACAAGTCATCCCAAACCCATGGACAAATCCCGCAAAAACCCTAAACCGCAAACACGCACACACACACACATGTATACCTGTATCATCTCTCGGGCGTTAATTTCTGTCTTTTCAACATTACATGCCTGAAGGGGGTGTCGGACAGAAAATCTGTTTGCGGGCGGAATCTAGTTTCAACAACTGTAAACATTGAAACGTTGTTTTTTTGGGGAAAATGAAATCGGGCGGAATTGCACGTGATTCGGGCGGAAACACACGTGCTTCAGGCGTAAATGGCCGATCTTTTTGAGAACACAAAGACACATTTTTGGCTAAAAGGGTTCGGGCGGAATTTGGAGCCTTGGGCAGAATCCTCAGATTCGTGCAGGTTTCCTGCCTGAATGCATTCAGCCAGATATTGCTGCCTGCATGATGATCTGGGTATAATTATGATTATGTATATTATATATTATATTATGTATAATTATTTTATTCAACAAAAAACAAAACACCAATTCTCAAACTCCAAAATCTTGAAAACCTACAAGTTACAGTATCTTGGGCAAAACTAGATGTTTCCGCGTAATGGTACATGGGTCGTTAGCCACCAAGAAAATGCACTTTATGTGGTTGGAATGCAGATGTTTCCACCGTCAGGATGCGAAATCCAATCAGTTCGAAAGCGTGGATACGCCGCATCAAAGTGCGGAAGCTGCTGTGTTTCTTGGCCTTGGTTCTTCTCCAAAGCTTGAAGCATGGAGACCTTTGATGAATCTTGTAATCCTTCCCCCTACAATATTACCTTGGAAACCTTCAACGTTCGATCATGTTCGATCTACTCATTTTGGAGCTCTTTTCGGAAGGTGTGTAACATCGGACCGAGGTCCGTTCGCGCTGGAGGGACCAACATCCTTCGACAGGGGAACAAATTGGACCGGACGGTGCTGTTGCCAGAGTCTTGTCGCACTGGCGCCAGGCTGACCAAAAGGGAGAAGATACAGTGAAAGTGAAAGCTTGGAAAATGGGCGCTTTATGGGAGCTAATCCGACATCATACCAAATTAAAGAGGGGGTAGCCTGTTCACACATCAGTAAAGTGAATTTGGTTGCGCACGTGCCGTGCCAATCTCGCATTATCTCACATTGTTTGCACTTTGATCATCGGTGGTGTCAGGTGGATTAAAGTGTTCGAGTGATCAAAGAAAAAACAAGAGCGCTTTTCGATTGACTAAGGAGAATCCGGTGCACCCTGCTGTTCACATCAGTTTGCAAGCTGATGTTGATAAGTTCATCCACGTATTGATTTGGAACGGCACGGAAAAGCATTGGTTTTTTTCTTTGTTTCGCCGGAGCTGCAAAGCCAGTCTGCAAAAAAAACGGCGTCCTCAGGAAGATTAGTCGTTTTGAATTGAGTCTACTTTGGAGTACCTACCAGTAGTCAAACAATGTTATCAAATGAGGCAATGGCAACACCACCCCGTGTTTTTGTGGCACGAATGGTCATCAATCCATTTGGGATTTGCACATTATAAGGGTTCCCAGAAAATAGGCGACCTCTAAAGTTGGTTCTCTATCATCCTGTTCCCTATTTAGACAATACCCATGTTGGGGATGCCTTGTTTCTAGACAAACCCATATGGATAATTAGATGATCATACCACAGACATTCAATCATTCATATCCCTTCTTCTGAGAGTTGGCACATATGCCTTTTCCAATCGTTGGAGCCGGGTTTTTCTTGGCCACCCAAGGAGTTGAAGAAGATCCTCAGATGCAACCGCTGGTACTTGCTCAGTTGATGGCTAAGATTGGGGAAGTTGTTTTTGTTTTTTGGCGACCTTAAACCAATCTTGGATTTATTTATTTATTATCAATATATATATATATATATCATTATATATCAATATAGATATATATTATATATAATAGTGTATGTATATATGTGAACCTTTCAGACAGATACATCAGAACTAGGTTCTAACATGCTCTAACCCCGTAAGACTCAGATATTGTATATCCTAGGAGATGCCCTGCTTGCTGATTGATCACTCCTTGGATCATGTCAGCCCATTCAGAAGGTATGTGATTGTTTAAGCGTGCAATCAATCAGTGGCCTTTTTCAACTATGTTTGTAGTGATTGATCATGTTTTCCCGGACGTGTCACAAAGATCGGCTTCTAGATGGTAGAATCTTAAGAAAACGATCCAGGTTTGATCTATCAGATGAATCTATATTAGATATAACATCAGTTGGGTTCACATCCACGCGCCATAGGGGACCATAGGCCATGCGCCAGTCATTTGCCCTAGAGCTGAGGATCGCTCGACTGACCCTGAAGTTCCCTTTGAGTTCCTTGTCGTTGGCAGGTTGGAGCGCAGATCGCTGATGCTGGCCATGTTGAAGCCCATTTGAAGCCCTTTTCGAAGGTCATTGCGCCCATGTTATCCAATGTTATCCTGTTGGCCTCGTCGAACGCGTCGAAGTCGTGTTGTTCAGTTAACCCTCGTGGTTTCAAATGTGGCTTTGTCTGATAGGGCACCCAAAAACCCGATGGCTTATCATCGTTCCCGGTTTTCCCTTTAAAGTGACCTTTGTTTTTTTTCCCGGCCCCTATGTTCAGACACACCTGTATTTCCATGTTTAAAAACCATATTTGGGATGATGATCCCCAAAGACTACTTTGACTGATTCAGGGGCTTCAAACCACCTACCAGCAAAATACTGTAAGTGGACATAAAAATGAACCTGAAACCAACTACTCTGAGTTGTTAAAGTTGAACGATTTCAATGAAATGAGCGTCCCAGCTGCGCGCACGCAACTTCTAAAGTTGACCAATGTTGCGTCCAGCTTGTGTCTAGCAAGTTAGTTTTTTTCAGTTTTTGACTTTTTCGTGGGTTTTGCATTGCCAGCGACTTTGTGTGACTTCGTATTTAGGTTGTGTCTATACCATGTTTTCATGATCGCATGAAAGGACAATGAAAGGAAATGAGAGGAAATGAAAGGAGAATGAAAGGAACATGAAAGCAAATGAATCCAAAGGTCTGGGTTTTGATACTCTTTGACGTCGTTCGATACGTCGTTCGGACGTCGTTCGGACCTCGTTCGAAACAGCTACCCTTTGGTAAACTAACATAGCTATTGAAAATGGCCATTTATAGTGGATTTACCCATTAAAAATGGTGATTTTCCATAGTTACGTTAGTTTACCAGAGGGTACCGTGTCCCTACAGAATCCAACAGGTAAAAGCAGTTTTTCTTGTGATCACTTGCAATCTACATGTGGTGAATCACTGGCGTCCCAATATGACATGAGTGTTTTTTGTTGTATTTAATACCACTTTGAAGATGTTTTGGGAGTTGCGTCCGCAAGGTGTTTCCTCATCTTTCACAGCAAAACTTGCCAAAACAGAGTTTGTCGTACATCGGCGTCCCATTGGGGTTGACCTTGCTTTTGGTCAACTTATTTGACTTCCTGATCCAACGGCGTCCCAATGAGATTTGACACAATTCTGTTAAATTGGTCGACTTTAACGGTTCGGAGTATTGTAATTAAGGTGATATCACGAGGATGTACTGGAATATCATGGGATAACATGTGGAATCTATCCATATATTCACTAATACTCACACACATATTATATATATATATTATATATATTATATAGATGCATAATTTATCAGTATATATAATGTTATATATATATATATGTATATGTACATTAAATAAATATATATATATATACATATGCATATTATATATATATAGATGCATAATTATCAGTATATATATATATATGGTCCCGTCCTCCGTCTCTCCACCCCCCCAATGGGTTGGGTCCCCAGGTAGCACCCCCTTTTCCCTTCTATTTGCAAGCTATTGGCAGCAATTCTGAGGTCCAGCCTCGTATTTGCTAGGTCTTTGCAGCATTTCTGACTCGCATTTACTAGGTACATGCTACCTTTTAGGCGATCTACGTAGCACACATACTCCCTCAAAGTACCTACGTGCCACCTATAGTCATATATACATGTGCTATGTATCTATACTTCCTATTTACTACCTGTGTACTCTCACAACACTACATGTGTTGAACATATGCCGTAATTACCTACCATACATTCCAATGATGCCATGTGTACCATAGCTATCATACCTATCATACATACCACACATGTTTCCATACATATGAAACACAATTACCACACCTACCATACATACAATACCAAACATACATGCGATACATACCATACATACCTTACAGGAAACATTCCATACCCATCATAGTGACCATACATACTATAACTATACCTATCATACCTATCTTACAGACCACATACCATACATATGAAACACAATTGCCACACCTACCATGCCATACATACCATACCTACCTTACATAGGAAACATTCCATGCCCATCATAGTAACCAAACTAACCATACATACCATACATACCATACATACTGTCATATCAAACATACCATACCCAACAGACTTGCATACATACTTACCATCCATACAATAACAACCATTCATGCCATACATAGCATACCTACCATACAAACCAAACATACCATACTTTCCAAACATGCTACACCAGACCGACCATACACACCATACATACCCAACATGCCATACCACACCCCCACCACACCACAGGGGGGGGAGGGGGAAGATCTCATATGGGGGAAGTATATGGGACCCATCCCTTGGGGGGGGAGGGGGGGGTGGCAGGGCCTGGTGCATATATATTGTTATATATATATACATATAATATACATATTTCACCAGCAATATGTGGATTCGGCCGTTTTCAATCGCCCATGCGGAAACCCGAGGTTTCCTGGACTCTCCGGCCTCGGCCTTTGCCTTGTTCCAAGGCATTCGCAGCGCTGAGGCAGCGGAAATTTGGCTGAACGATGGATCCTGAGGGAACCCCAGTGCCAAATGCCATGAAAATGCCATGAAAATGCCAAAGGAAGTGTGGAAAAAACGGGTTTTATTGTTTATGTAAGGAGCATGAATGAGCTGTTTGAATCTGGTTCACCTATGGCTAGATACACAAGACATCATGCAACTTGGTCGTTGTTGGGACTCGATGCATGGCAACCCTTTCGTTGCTGGTGTTGCGGGCCTTGAAGCGCGTCGACCAAGGACTGGTGTGCCAAGAACTTTCACTCCAAACTCATACCTCTTCTGGCGAAGAAGATTCATTCCTGGAAAACCGAGGAGATTTATTTTTGCTCACCATTTGGATCAATTATGAATTAAGAAATATGTATGTATAGAAATATATATTTATATATTATCATTCCAATTCCAGTCTTCTGGGGCTGGGGTTTGCACCAGCCACTAGTAATACCAATCAAACCATGTCGATTCTGGGCGGGTCTATTCTTTTCGGATGTGCACCCTATGATTCCCTACCATCTTCTCTCATCCCCCATCATCCCTTATCCAATTTCGGAATATCATGTTCCAAAGCTATTTTTTGATTTCTTTTTTGATCCCAGGTTCCTCAAATTTTGGGGCTTCAAATTTTGATGTGTTAACAGCTTCCTGTGACCCTTCGTCATCGTTTTCCCCATGGAAAAACGGAAAAAACCAGCGCTTCAAGGAGCTCCAAAAGTTGCTGGATCGGGTGCTCACTGATTTGGATGCAGAGGTGATCAAGAGTCCTCATGCCTTCAGTGGCAGTTCTGCCGTGTTGGCCTTGTTACTGGGCTGGCGAAAAACGGTGCAGATGCACTGGATAAGATGCCAGGGGGAGCGAGACGTGGCATACACAATTAAACAAACATACAGTGAAATTCCACTATAGTTGCAGCTAGTCTCAACATTTGCACATGATATTATAGCATAATGTACATTTGAGAAGTATGTTTTTGATTTTATCTACTGATCTCCGTGTGTGTGCATGTGGTATTACAATGTATTACATGATGTTTTAGGACAGGCATGGACAGGCCCATTCTTGACGGCTGCCAGGTTGCTGGGCGATCGTTTGGTGATTTCGGCTGTGGGTCAGTCTCTTGGATCCACTGGATCCACTGGATCCACGGCACTGAACCATGGAGCGATGTCCCACCAAATAGGCATGACCATGCTGCAATGCTTGATGTTGATATAGACTATGTTTAGGAAACATTAGGAAACCACATTTAGAAAACGCTTGATGTTAAAAGTGCATGTTTGTCGTTGTAGACAATTATGTTTATGGTTATGAGTCCAGCTTGGTGAATTTTAGCAAAAAATGAACATCATCAACAACATTTAAAAAAAAAAACACACACACACAGGAAAGAGTCAACAAACAAGAAGAGAAAAACAAACAAACAACAAGTGGATTTTTTCCAGTTTTTGTTGTATGATTGTTTTTCTTGTTTTTTGGTTTTCTGGTTTCTTTTTTTTCTGTTAGCTTTGGTTTTAATCTATGTTTTGTGTTTCAAGCAAACCCTGCTTTCTCTGTGTTGTTGGACTCTCAAGTTTACAATGTATGATATGAGTTATGATCCTCAAAGACCTCAAAGACCTGTACTTGATAATGAAAGGAATAATGGTGAATAGTGAATTTGTTTTACGTTCACAGATTGCTAGATTACCGTGTGACCATTCCTTCTCTCGCCGGCTGATGCAAACAAGAGGGGTGCCGGGTGCCTCTCATGTTTCACAAGTGTTCTGGGTAAAAGGCAGGTACATGGATGCAACTGATGCAACTATGATACCAGACAGACTTCTATGGGCGTTCCAAAAAGGACATCATTGGTTGCTTCATTTGTTCCAATCCCAAGGGATCTGAGACAGACGTTGGGCCATGTTGTGCCCCTTTTCGTTCCAGATGGTTGTGGGGTGGTGCCCCTCCCAGATATATCTGTTGGTTTGTAACTCCCATAGATTGATATACTGTATCATGATCTACCTACCATAAATCATCCAACAGTGAGCCAGGGGACATCAACTAACTATTGATGTATCTATGAAGGTCTGCCAGAAGCACAGCATTTGGCATACTTATAGAATAGTGGTGGCATGATATAAGCCAACTATACATCATGGTATACCCATCACATAATACGTACATACATACATACATACATACATACATACATACATACATACATACATACATACATACATACGTTCACTATAAACCGGGCCCAACAGTTCTCCTAGGTTTGTCCTACCAACCTTAGCTAGGTCACTGGGGCACCACCAGTCCCATGTCACGTGAAGGTTCCGCGTGGTGCTGCTATTCGACGATGGCAGCTCTCGAGAATTGATGCGGGGAACTGATCTGCATTCCGATGCGGAACGCATTGAAGAAGCCAGAGGTCACATACGAAAAGATCCTTCGCTGAAAATCTCTCCTGATAAGAAGTGTTTGGGATATGATCCAAGTACCGTACCTAGGAAGTGTTTGGGGCACTGGTGGTACTGTATGTCTTATGGGATTAAGTACAGATTCTCAGGCAGTGTTTTGGATCCATACTGTATATGAGAGCAATATCTTAATCATGTGTATACAAGATCAAGCGACTCATTCTGCCCCCCATAGCAGTGATATCACAATGAAGCCACAGGTACAATTACAATGAGTGATTGGGCTTCTGTGTGTGACATATGATAGTTTTAAAAAATGCAAACAGGTGAAATCAATGGTGAATGGTGAACAAAAAGCAATTCCTCCTGGAACCCCAACAAGATGGGCTTTGAACAGTGCATTCTCTATGTTTTTCTTATAACATCGGCTGGACATGCTCTTTTATCCTCGCTTCCAGTTCCAAATTTCTACGAGGTATATAGCCCATTAGCCCATCTGACAAACTCAGTTGCTGCCTAAGCACCCATTCTGGTTAAACCTACATTTATTTTGCAGGTGGAATTAAAGCATTATCAGCACTTGCACCACCGTCAGATGATGGTGGTACACACGAAAGTAGAAATTGTGTTTGCCCAATATTTTGATGGTGGATGGCTTGCAAGCAACCTGAAGACAGTGGCAGTTTTGAAGATACACAACTAGATTGATAAATGGACATATAGATACTGTAATAGCTGGATAGAAAATAGATCTATGGATGGATAGATAGATAGATAGATAGATAGATGGATAGATAGGATAGATAGGATAGATAGGATAGATAGGATAGATAGGATAGATAGATAGATTGATAGATAGATAGATAGATAGATTGATAGATTGATAGATAGATTGATAGATTGATAGATATAGATAGATATAGATAGATATAGATAGATATAGATAGATATAGATAGATAGCTAGATAGATATAGATAGATAGATAGATAGATTGGGTTGATTGGGTTGATTGGATAGATTGGATAGATTGGATAGATTGGAAAGATCTATAGGATGGATAGATAGATAGATAGACAGATAGATAGATAGATAGATAGATAGATAGATACTGTAGATACTGTAGATACTGTAGATAGATAGATAGACAGATAGATAGATAGATACTGTAGATACTGTAGATACTGTAGATAGATAGATAAGTAGATAGATAAATGTAATTCAATGTAATTCAATGTAGATATACAATTGTAGATAGATAGAAAAATAGACGTATGTAAAGATAGATAGATGATAGATAGTTATAACGATAGATAGATACTTAGATAGATGGACAGTGATAGATTAGATAGAAGGTTAAACGGATAGATCGATCGATCGACCAATAGATAGATAGATAAGTAGATAAATGATGATAAATGTAATTCAATGTGGATATACATGCTTTTCGATGTGAAGTTATCCCCAGATATCTCCAGAAAAGATGTTTTAACACACCGGTTGTCTCCGTTGCCTCAAGGACTCTTTGATCCGGTTGCCGGACGCCGACTCCAATGATGCGGAGAAAGTCTTGATGGCTCGTAATCCCTTTCAGGTGGACGGTGAGGTCACAAGTTCGGTGAGAAAAAAAAGGACAACGAACATTTGCAAGTCTTAAGCTTCAAAAACTACAAAGGCCTATATGAATCTATATGATGATTCGTTGATGGTTGCTTTAAACCCCATTTCAATATGTTCGAAATGTCGGTGCTGCTTGGGGTTCTGCCGTCGCAACCTGTATCCCGGATCCCGCCCTCAGATTTTGGGCGTGGATGCACGGGGTGAATTTGGCATTGCTCAGGTGTTGCAGATGGAGCCTCAAGCGCTAGATGAGAAGCAGGCGCCAGATGGGCAAAACCGGATGGTTTTGGCTGATTTCCAAATCCAACAATAGAGCATCCCAATTTCTCCATTGGGTGGCTAGTATCATTTATTAAGAACGGACCATACCCTAGAAATGGCCCGTACCATTGTGTTTACCAGATCAGTGTGAACATCAAAGATCCATTAAATTAAAGTATGGACATGATGAATTCTAAATGATCCATATGATCCATTGTGGTCCATTGTGATCCATTGTGGTCCATTGTGATCCATTGAAACGGAAAATCATGGAAAATCTATGGAGAATCGGAGCGCTTAATTTTTCTCACGAACACATTTTTCTTGTGACAGCCCCGTGTTCCCGCAGAAGCATCGCTTCGCGCTTCAAGGTGCGTACACAATATCGGAAGATGGCGCTGAAGGTGCATCCAGCTCCTTGGCGATCGCCTTCAAAAGTTGTAGTGGCTCAAATATGACTGAGTTACATTTGTTGGGATTTCAGTTTGGGGATATTACAAATGCATACAAATGCACATACACAGATACACACCCTATACCTTCCTGTACCCTATGTGTTTTTTCAGGGCTTTCTTTAGATCCTCTGCCATTGGTGGATGTGGGGGTCTCGCCCAGGACAAGCAGACCGAGGATGCTGAAAGCTTCAAGAAGGCTTTCGCACGCTTGGACGGAGCGAAAGAGGCGCAAAGGGGGCGCCACCGGCGCGGGTCGTGCCTGGCGGATGGTCAGTTGGCCAATTTTGATCCTAAAGTCCTGGATGTCCCGGGTCTTGGACTATTGGACCTGTTTGGAGCTGTTCTTTTTGGCACCGAAATGTCCAATGAATCAGCGTTGACATGTGATGGTTTGGAGATGATCCCGCCAGGCCTGGGTGTTGCTGTGAGATTTTCATGGCTTCAAAATGCTACAGCTTCAAATAGTTCCATTCAAGTCCTTGGTGGGGAAGGATAAACATATTCCATGAACATTCATGAACATCCATGAACATCCATGAACATATAAATGTAGTTGAGCCACTTAGCCACTTGCTGAAGTTCCCAATCAGGAGTGGGAACCCTGGGTACGTAAGGGCCCTAAACAGACTTGGGCTTTCCTTTGGGACGCAGCCAGGTATTCCCTGTTGCTGGGTATAAACTCCTCCATAGTGAAACATCCAGCTTGTGTTGGTGACACCTAAAGATTTACTGAGATAAGCACTCATGAGATTGATTAAACAATGCTTCACACATCCCATTCTTTTTTTACTCACATCAATCACATCTCCTGCCAGCTTCCAGGATCGTGTTATAGACCTGATGTATCTATTAGATCTATTAGATCATTTGTGCAATTATATGAGTATATTTACTTTCAGCTTGATCTTATATAATTTTATTTCCCATATATATATATAGAATATAGTACATATGTGTCTATATATATAGATATATGTGGTGTGAACCTTTAGACCTTATCAGAAATCCAGCTGGTGGACTCACATATGTTTATTTTCCCCTATTTGTCATCTAACTTTCATGCTTCAAAGATGGGTCGACATCCAGAGGAGTCTTGTAGCCCCAGATTCACTTAGCCCCAGATCCAGTTCCGGGATGGACACATCATCTATGATGGATGGGATATTGTCCTAGACAATTCATCCGATTTGTCATATGCCTTGCAATCATATTTAAATTGTCGAGGCTATCTTTGGGGTAAACATGGGGCGGCTTTTGCTGAAGAACAGTATCCTATCATAATTTTGCTAAGTATCCTAGTGTTTCATCATTTCTGGTATACATCATTTGTAAACTTACAAACAAAGTGTGTTATGTTTGAATCAAAAGTCGTGCGCAAAAGCTTTAATACAGCCACAAACAAATGCTGAATTTTATGCATCCATTCTTTGCGAATGAAATGGTCCTATGGTTGTAAATATGAACTATATACATAATATGTTAGACAATATATTACGGTCAGAACGACATAGCTCAATGCTGCGCCACTTTTGGCCGAATGTGAGCACCTATACTCTAAAAAACGAGGTGCAGCTATGGGCACCTGGGCAACGTGGCAAAAACAGCCCCGCAGGTCTTGGAGAGTCTCTGCGGCGCCGACTCGACTGCTGTAGCGGATCTCCATCAGGTTTTGCAGGCGGAGGTGCACACACGGGAGACTTGGTTCCGGGGTTGGTGATGTTGAAATCCATAGTTTTTGGGGATTGCCAAACTGAACTACTTGGTTAAAGTACGCAAAGAGTTGCGATTATTGTTGGCTAAGATACACAATTTGGACGAAGTTAAAATATGATAAAATCTAGGGATGAATTGTTCGAACTTCATATATTTTGCAGTAGAAAGCACAAAAAAATACCATGAAATCAATTTCGCTGAAACCAATCCCATTGAGTGTTTGGTGGTTCATCCCACGAAGTTGGGCCCCAGTTCGTTGGGCCCCGTAAGCCCTAGCCGCAGCTCGCCGCAGGTAACAGAGGAAGTTACAGAAATGGGGCCCTGCTTTGTAGGAAGTAGGTTACAATCCTGGTCATAAATGGGGCAGAGATGGGCAGAGTATATAAAGCATTATAAAGCCATAGGGCTGTTACAATCTACTTAGTATTACTAAGTGGGACCTCCAAGTGTCCTGTTTGGCTTCTAGACATCACAGTGGATGGTTGGAGTTAAAATCCAATCGGATCCAACAGGTGGACAACCAATTTGTTTCCCCAATTGCAGCGCATCATCATTCATCGGTGTTCTCAAATTTTGAGCGTATCATGTGGTGATAACAACTCAGCAGCTCAGCACTCAGCACTCAACTTTTTTTCCCAATTAACTGTTCGCCATGCAAAATGGCCCATACTTCGATGATGTCCTATACTAAACATGGTGATTTGCCCGTTCGAAATCTATGTAAATTCCCAGAGGGTATGGGGACAAGATCGTTTTCCCTCATATTTTCCCAAAGATATGATAAGATATGAGGGTTTCATGGCTTTTCTACACATTTTCCCCACATTTTCTGTGGTTTCCGGGGGTAACAGCCCATTTGCCGTGCCGCCCAAGGAAGGCGCCGCGCAGCTCCTCAGTGTGGACGCAGCTCCCATGACGGAGACCGAGCAGCTGGCGGAGGACGCGGCCAAGTCCTCGCGACGAGGTAATCAGGGGAGAAATCAGGGGAGAAAATGGGGAATATGAATGAATATGATGGAATATGGCATCTGGATATAATATGGCATATAATATGGCATATGGGATGTGGTGGAAATAGAACGGGGAGACCAGCAAAACTGTGCGCCGGATGCTATAGGTGGCTATAGAACAATCATCGAAGGAAGTTTAGAAGTCAAACTTCCGACAATATGGACAGATGGAAAAGCAGAGGTGGGAAGAGTCAGAGAAGAGAAGAGCAGAAGAGAGAAGAGAAAGAGTCAGAAGAAAGAAGATGCAGGTTCGCGAAAAGGTATAGGAAAGTCGCGAGACACTGTGTTTTTCCAATGATTTGTGGCTCCGGAGGGTCGAAAAGTAGGCTCGCTAAAGTGGCGGGTGCGGAGCCATCTGGCCAGATGAGAGATGAAAAGTTGCATGCATTGCACACCGTTGTGACGCGAAGCACGTGTGGAAGTCAAAATGTACAAAGCACACCATTCTGGGACCACTTTTGGAAGTTGAGATGTCGAAAAATGCACGCCGTTGTGGCGCGAAGCACATTTGGAAGTCAAAATGTACAAAACACCTCATGTTCGGACGACTTTTGGAAGTTGAGATGTTGAATCGGACGATTTATGGAAGTTGAGATGTCGAACAAGTGCACGCCCGTTGTGGTGCGAAGCACATTTCGAAGTCAAAAGTGCAAAAAACTTTTGGTTATGGAGCACTTTTGGACGTTCAGATGTCGTTTCGCGTGGCAGGGGCAGGGGATTAATGCACCTTGTCAAAAGTGAACCAAATGTGAGGGTTTTGTGGCAGTTTCAACAACGATGGCAGGCGTGAGACGTTTGAAAAGGATCTGCAAAGATGCATGTCGCGTGGCAGGCGCCGTGCAAGAGACACGTGAGTTAGATGTGTTGGGAGATCAGGGCGGAGATTTCCTGAGATGGGTTGCATTTTGGAGCATGAGATCTTCAGGTTTGGGAAGATGATTTTGCGTGACAGGTGCAGCACTTCGTATGACCTGGCATCACTTTTTCGTGGCAGGCGCAGTAGTTTAGACAGATGGAGTGGAAAAATCGCAAAACGCAATGGCACGAGGCCGTCAGCTCTGCACTCAACTTTCCATTTTTGAAGGAAGTCTCGCAGAATTGCTTCGTTTTCAAGTTTAGAGATAGACAGACAGACAGACAGACAGACAGACAGATAGATAGATAGATAGATAGATAGAAAATTACAACTATACAACTACAACTACCACCACACTACACTACACTACTGCTACAGCTACAAATGCAAATATATTGCGCTACATTACGCTACGCTAATTACACTACACTACACTACACTACACTAATTACATCTAATTACATCTAATTACGCTACACTACACCAATTACATCACAACTACAACAACAACCACAACTACAATTACAATTGCAACTACACTACGCTACACTACACTAATTACACTGCAGCACGCTACAACTACAAATATACATGCAACTACAACTACAACCACACTACATTACACAACACTACACTACACTGCCTACATTGCATTACACTGTACACTACAACAACAGCTACAGCTGCAGCTACAACTGCAACCACAACTGCAACTACCACTACATTACAAAACATTACACTACATTACGCTACATTACACTACGCATACTACACTACCTTACACTACGCTACACTACACAAATTACACTGCAATACACTACAACGACAACTACAACTACACTACCTTACACTACACTACATTACACTACACTACACCACACTATAGCACACTACACTCCACAACACTACACGGCATTACATTACACTGCCACTAACACTACACTAATTACACCACACCACGGCTACAACTGCAACTGCGCTTGCAACATTACACTACATTGTTACAACTACAACTCTACTACACTACACTACACCAACAGCTACAACTGCAACTACAATTACAACTGCACTACACTACACTACATCCAGCAGTTGTGGTAAGGTGACCCCTGCAACCGTTGCAACCATTCCAAAAAACACAACTCCAACCACCTGTCGGTCCATCAGTGGATTCGCTCTGCCACCCGTGATTCACAACAACCAACCTCTATCAACCTCTCCTATAGGTTTCCTATTTTTGAAACTTCCGCCACCGCCTTGTGCGGTACGACTGGTAATTGGGACACTAATTGGGAGATAGATTTGGTTGGAGTGGGATGACTCCCGCAGATGCCCTATATTCGCCCATAGGGATTGAGAGGTTGAACCACAATTCCTGCAGTAAAACTGTGCGAGTCGCAGCACTTCCAGCGTGACCTGGGCTGGTGGGTGAGCATCCAGCTCTAGGGTGGATTTTCTGGAAAATAGTATGGGAACGATGTATCTTTAGCAAGACTAGCCATATCTCAGATCCTGGTCATAAAATCACAATCCATAGGGACCCCGGGTTGGATTTGACTTGCGGGTGTCTACCGAGATTTTTCAGGCGCTGAAGTCGCTTATATAATTGTCATTGCAGGCATCAAGAAATTGGAAAAGCTGGAGCATTTGGTGAAAGCCGAGTCTTGGCGAAAAAAGAACCTTTTCCCAAAGGAATTTGCGGAAACCGCCGTTCCTCAATTTGAATAATTAAGCGTGAGCCTCAACTAAGCTCTGCAAGTTACTC